CCCAGTGTCCTCCCAGTGCTCCCAGCGCCAGCACCCAGTGTCCCCGCAGCGTCCCATTGCTTCCAGCGCACCCCACCCTTACGCTGCAGGGTCCTCCCAGCGCCCCCCAGTTCCCCCAGTCCCTGGCTAACAGGGACTCGCTGTGTTCTTCGCACTGACGGCCTTCTGGTCACCACCTCCCCCCCACCGCGGTGTGTGGGACCCCCACACGCACCCCGGGGGCTGGGGGCTTCGTTAGGGGACCGAGGAGACACCACCAGGCCGGGGCCTTCCCCCCAGTAACAGCCACATCCCGGAACCCACCCCCCTATTTCCATACCCCCCCAAAAATCCCAGGGGTCCCTCCGGATGCCTGAACAGCATCCAAGGTTCAGGAGAACAGCCCCAATTTCCCTAACGAGCAAAAACCTCGTTACGCAGCTGCTTATTGCAGGGCGATTCCCCACCACCTCCGGCGCAGGGCGGGGAGGAAGAACCGGGGCCTTCCTCACATGAACCGCGAGCCGCGCTGGACAACCATTTATTACCATAACTCTTAAAAAAGAAAAAGAACCCAAACCTGCTCGGCGCCACCCGCCAAACCCCTTTGGTAGGCGCAGCACAGCGCACGAGCAGGAGGAACGGGATTCGTGGCTCAAACTTCAAAGCCCTGGACGCGAGTCCCCCCCGTGAGAGCGGAGCGGGGCGATGCCGGCGGGGCGGGGGTGGCTCAGATGATGCCGGCGGGAGCGCAGGCCGGGGTGACGCAGAGCGTCTCCGCCATCTCCCAGCCGCAGGACAGCCGGGCGCAGACGCTCTCGCGGTCGTCTTCTGTTTGTGGTGGTTTTCCTTGGAGGAGCTGGATGGCTTTCCTGCAAACGGGAGACACCCGAGGGGGAGAAAAGCGGGGAGCGGCCCCTCGAGAAATGCTGCGCGATGGGTCTGGGGAAAAGGGGGTTCAGAGGGTCTCACATCCCCCATCTGTGCACCCAGAGGTGCCGCTTCTGCTGTGAAAAACTGCCTCGAGCGTGTCAGCGTTACAAAAACCATGGGTTTTGTCTCTGAAGCCAGGTTTTTACCTCTGAGGTCAGGTTTTTAACCCTCAGTCTCCAGGTTCTAGGGCTCAGATTTGACTTTCTCCCTCAGGCAAAGAGCCTGGGTGGAGGGAAAAGCAGCATCTCCCAGGGGATTCAGCTCTGCCCCCTGACCCTGCTCACCTGGGACTGTCTCTTACCAGGCCACGCGGGACATGGCGTAGGTGATCTGTGGCTGGGGACACCCCACAAGCGAGGACGAACTTGCGATGGTGTAGGCACCCATGTCCTTAAAAATCAGCCAGTCCCCAACCTGCAGCTCAGGCAGCTCCAGGCCATCGGCGATGCGACCCTCTGCGTGTCCTGGGGGGCCTCGGAGGGAGCTGCTGCGCGAGGGGGGGTCTGGGCAGGGTCTCTGTGGGGGAGAGATGGAGCAGCGGCAGGGGATGAGGGTGCCCCAGGGCCACAGTGACTTGTCTTGTCTCCCCATGCCCTGAAGGTCCCACCCGGGGAGCCCACGGACTGTGGCTACAGCTCTGCTGGTGCGTGGATTCTCAGACTGGTTTGGGTTGGGGAGGATCTTAAAGATCATCCAGTTCCACCTCCCTGCTGTGGGCAGGGACACCTCCCACTAGCCCAGGTTGCCCAAAGCCCCGTCCAACCTGGCCTTGAACCCTTCCAGGGAGGGGGCAGCCACAGCTTCTCTGGGCAGCCTGGGCCAGGGCCTCACCCCCCTCACTGGGAAGAATTTCTTCCTTACATCATTGCTTACATTACCACAGCCTCTTCCCCACAGCCTCTGCTCTCTGGCACGGAGCCTGGGCCCAGCCACAACGCAAGGGAGAGCAGGGTCGGCTGTGACAAGGCCACACAACATGAGGGACCCACTGGGCTCCCCTTGAACCGGGCCAGAGCCTCACCTTGCGCAGCTGAGGCCTGGGGCAGGGGCTGTCGAACAGCAGGCAGCTGAAAGCGCCGTAGACACCGTCGCTGAGGTGATACACGAGGCTCTTCCTGCTGCCAGACTCTTCCTCTGGAGGGCAGCAGGGAGAGGGCTCGGGGGGGGGCTCGGGCACACAGGAGGGCCCGTCCCCACCGTCCCACCTACCGTCGGAGCCGGGCTGCTCCGCGGGAGCCTCGTCCCTGGCCGTGATGTTGGCAGCGAAGGTGAACGCAGAGGTGACGTAGTATCGCCCGGGTGTCGCGACGATCTCCACCCCGCAGCCGTCTGGGAAATACAAATCCAAGGCAGAGTTTATCACGGCAGCGATCTGGATGGGAAGAAAATATCCCCCCTGGGTTAGCTCAGCCCCTCTGCGAGCAGCCAGACCCAGAGACACGCTCCAGCCTCGCTCTCTGCCTGCTGAGTGCCGGCGTCGGGAGCCGTGTACCTCTTCAAACCGGGCTCTGGTGTCCTCGGTGCCAGGGAATCCCCCTCCGATGTCCAGGAGGTGCATCCGGTAGCCCAGCTCTGTGCCCACCTCGAAGGCCAGCTGCGCCGCAGCCACCGACTGAGCAAAGGCCTGGGGCTCCAGACCGCCGCTCCCAAGGTGAAAGCTGAGGGCACAGTCCCTGTTTCAGCAGGACTCGCCCATCCCCAGAGAGCAGTGAGGGGACACGGCACTGGGATTATCCCTCACTGGGGGCAGCTCTGCGCTTCCCACCTGCCATCCCAAGCCTCCCAGACCCTCTCTGAGGGCTAAACCTGTCCCAAATCAGATCCAACAAGAGTCAGTCTCCCCAGGTCCCTGCTTTGACCCCACTCCCAGCACATCAGCCGGTTGCTCCGTGGATCCCTGCGTTGTTTCGGGACAGCAGAGCTCCCCACAGTCCCCTCCCACGTGACCTGAGCACCCCTATGGAAAAAGGACCTTGTGCTGTACCTGACACCAACAACCTCCACAGCCTGCTCCTTCGCTGCCTCTAGCAGGTGCCGGCAGGACTCGAGAGTGGTCCCAAACGTCATGCTCAGATAGGGAGCAGGGCTGGAATCAGCAGTAATACCCAACAACATCCTGCAGAGCAAAGCCACACTGCATTTAGGGGTCTTCAGGCCTTCTATCACCCCACAGCCAGCTCCTACTCCAGCCCCACATTCCAACGATGCTGCCAGACACCCACCTGGCATGAGGGTGGCTCCTGGCCACCTTGCTCAGCTCCACCTCGTTGTCAAAGGTCATCAGCTGCACACCGTGGCTGGCTGCGTATTTGATGTGGGCAATCTGCTTGCAGGGGCTACTGTAGAAGATCTTGTCAGCCGGGACTCCGATGCTTTGAACACGGGTGATCTCTGCCTGCAGGGAAAGGACACGCGTGTGGACAGGTCCTGGGGACCGGCGCTGCCCCTGCTCAGCCCTGGGCCTCGGCCAGCCTGCGGCATGCGGAGGGCAAACCGCCAGCATTTGCAGTCTGGGCTTTTCTGGGGAAAATCTGCAAGAGCTCGAAGGGATCACAGCGGACTTTGTCCTGGCAGGGGTAGATTGGGGCAAGATCTTTACAAGATGAGACCAGGAGGAGAGGAAACAAGTGGGTTTAGCAGGTGTGGGTTTGGTGCATGTGTCCCGCGGGTGCTGCTCTGAGCTGCTCTTTGCGCTTTCTCCTCCTGGTAACACATCTTATTTAATTACATATAAGTAAGTGGTTTAGCTTGGGTCCCTGCCTGGAAATCTGGCATTGCAAATAACAAGCAGGAGGGAGCTGGGGAGCTTTAGGCTCAGCCTTAAAGCCACCAAGAGTTGGATGGCTGTGGCAGTGGCACCCCAGGGACGTGCCTTGCCACGGGCCAGGCTGCCAGCCTGGACACCAGCTCCAGAGACAGGAATGCTGGTCAAAGGGAACGAGGATGGGGATTTCAGGGCTGTGTCAGGAGGGTTTTGACAGCAGGGGGAGACTCCTGCCCCTGTAAATGTCATTTATAACAGTAGAAACTTGGGAAAAGAGGGTGAGCTCTGCCAGTCTCCCACGAATTCCCACAGGATGCTCATGTCATTTAATGAGGAGAAACTTGGGAAAAGAGGGTGAGCTCTGCCAATCTCCCACAAATGCCCCAAGAATGGTCATCCTGAGCTGTCCTCCCACAGCCCTACCTTGTTGGTACAGGCAAAGCCTGCGCCCAGCTCCGCCAGCAGCCGAATCACTCCCTCACTGCCGTTGCACTTAACGGGGAAGTAGGGTTTCACACGGGGCAAGGCCTTCAGGAAACGCAGATGTTTCTTCACGATATCTCCAAGGTCTGCCAGGAAGAAGGCTTGCTGCTCGCTCTAGGAGAAAGCTGGAGTGAGCAGCAGTCGCCTTCCCACGCCTGCCTCTGCCGTGGGGGTGCTGGCTGCCGGGGAGCAGCAGAGCCGCCAGCCCTCACCGCCGGGCACAGCTCCATGAGGAGGGTCTCCAGGAGGTCTCTGGTGGTGAAGCCCTCCTCAACCATCATGAAGTTGGATTCATGCAAGTATCCATTCATGGTCAAGGTGGGATAACGCTAGTTTAAAGCCTCCTCAAGTAGGGTATAGCTTCTAAGCATGCAACACACTGAAAAAAAAAAAGAAAGGGAACGTTAGAGGCAGGACTGCAGAAGCTCTACCAGCGTAGACCACCCAGCCTGCACCCCAGGGTGCTCCCCGTCCCCCCTGCAGGCCGTACATGGCAGCCCTGCCCTGGGCAGAGCTCTCTGCTGCTCTCCTCCAAACCAGCACCTCAGCTGAGAGCCCTACCGTGGGTGAAAGCATCTTCTCCAGGGGGAGGAGGCACATTTCTCTGCAGCTCAGAGCTTTGTTTTGGCACACAGCAGCCCTGTCTTCCTCAGCAGCAGTTCAGGCACCAACGCAGTTAACAAAGCCAACTTCACTGCAAAGCGGATGGCCTATATATGCCAGAACGTGTCCCTTCACGCTCCGGCATGTAGCTAAATCTGCTGTGTGTTGCACAGGGTGAATTCCCTTGTGGTTTTCAAATAGCTGAAGTCTCACAGATCCACCTTCCCAAGCACATGAGCCCCATGAAGAGGGGAGGCATCTTTAAAGAGCACGGCACAGGCCACTCGCTGACACCGCTCTCAATCCATGCTGCAGTTCCAGTTTCACGTCTCTCCCATAACACGGGATGTGGAACAAGGGGACAAGTTTATCTGCACTGTGTTTCCTGGCTCGCACGCTTAGCAGAGCTTTGGCTTTAAGCTTGCACACTTAGTTTTAACAACCTCCCTTGGATCCAGCCCACCCCATAACCCAGGTCACTGACAACCTGGCACAAGCTGGCAGGAAACATTTCCACTTCAATAATCCAGGTCTAGCTCCAGGGCTCTTCCAGGAACACAGTCTCTCTGATCTGAAGTGAGTGGGAGGCAGAGGTTTTGTTTTTTCAGAGCTGCACACCACCTCCTCCTCCGCAGAGACCTACTTACGACATTTCGGGTGGTCACTAGGAGAAAGACCACGCTGACCCCGGAGCAGCAGGGTGTTGTAATGCATTGAGCAACCACCGTCAGCAAACTCCAAAGATGTGGAATGAGGAGAAAAAAACAGGTTTTAAAGCTCTTAGAGCTTTATACTCAGGAAAGAAGAGCAAGTCCTCCAGCCTTACCCTTCATTTCCCAAAGACATCACTAATCAGCACCCAGCCTGTGCTGGTTGGGCACAGAAACGATGAGCAATTAAATGGGTCATTCCTGCCAGCCCTGGGCAAAGGAGCCCCAGCCTCAGACATCCCCTCCTTACCAAGGTCCAACGCCTCACTCTGGGGGGTCTAGGCGTGCTGTCAGGGGGGCCCCCCGAGGAACGCCGAGCTCCTGCAGCACCCCGAGGAGTAGCTGTTGCTGGGGGTCCAAGGTTTCTGGGGAGAGGCAGTGCAAGGGGTTAGCAAGGGGCACTGACAGCAGGACGCCCTCCACCCACCATTCCTGAAATTCAGCATCTGCAGACATCCCTCAGCAGCCCCCTCCTCACCCTGCCGGCTTCCCCAGCAGCCCCACACAGTCCCCCCCACCCCATTACCTTAGGAAGCATTTAAACAGATTATGCCCATGGGTCTCCCAGAGAAAAGAGGAAGAACTGGCCCCAGCAGCGGCTGTTCCCTGCCTGCTCCGAGCCCTTGGATCAGCTACCCCTGCAGAGAGTGGGGGGGCCTCTGCACCCCTTGTATCGCAGCACCCCCCCTCCCTGCTCTGCCTCACAACCATGGCCATGGCAACCAAACCCAGCCACCCCATTGGCTGAGCTGCCTCCGAGCATCCTTCATCCCTTTTGGGGAATGCTCCCCGCCTCGCACACCCCCTTCCCAGCAGACATCCCAAGTTCTCACCGAGTCCCTGCCGCGCCAGCAGCTCATCCCCAGCCTGACGGTGCGGAGCGCTGCGAGCCTGCCTGCAGCCCGGCCCTGGTGCGAGGGCACTCGTGGCTGCGTGTGCATCGTGTGCGCAGGGACCCTTGGGGGAAAAAGAGCCAAAAATACCTCTGAAATACTGCTGCCAGGGAAACGAGGCTTCCTGCAGATTAAAGGCTGAGCAGCGCCTGTTTGGCTGGGACACCAGCCGGGGGAGTTAGTCGGGAAGATGTCAGGGATTGATTTTCTGCCCTTGTTGTGCTGCTGCCAGTTTTGGTGGGTTCCCCGGCAGCAGATCCAGCTCTGCCATAGCTGCAGATGCCCTACCTGGTCGATCAGTCCTGTGCACTTGGACACAGTTCCATTGCTCCATCCCACAAATGCCACAGGCTGAGGGGGGAATTTTTTTTTCTTGTTATTATTAATTTGTAATTCCCTCCCTGATGTTGCTGAGGAGACAGTGTTCTGTGCATGGAAGGGTAGCTGCCCCCGCTGAGGAGGTGAGAGGGACAGATATATCCCCGGTTCCTCTATTCAACACTGTGGTCTTGGCTTTGCCATGGACTCTCCTGGCAACCAGGGCCGAGGAAGCTCTTGTCTCCTGTGAGATCCTGGCCTGCTCTCCCGGTGCTCTGGCCCAGCACCCAGCCCTGGACTGCGCCGTGCAGGATGGGGGGCAGCCATGCGGAGAGCACAGCGCCGGGAGGAGGGCAGTGTGGTGCAGAGCAGAGCCGTGACGCGCAGCCCACGAGGAGCCGGGCGACCCACGAGGCTCGCTGCTGGCTGGGCGCGATTCACCCATGCAGGGCCGCCTAACCCCGCCCACTCCCACCAAACCCCGCCCCCTATCAGGGAAAAC